GAGACTCCAACTCAAAAAAAAAAAAAAAAAGAAAGAAAGAATAAGCTACTATTTAGGCCCTGTCTCTATTCCACAGAATTATACATTTTAGTTTTATTTACTTATTTATTTTGAGTTTACTTATTTATTTTGAGTCTCACTCTATCACCCAGGCTGGAGTGCAGTGGCATGCTCATGGCCACTACAACCTTGACCTGCTGGGCTCAGGTGATCCTTCTGCCTCAGCCTTTCAAGAAGCTGGAACTACAGGCATGAGCCACCACGCCCAACTAATTTTTTTGATTTATTGTAGAGACGAGGTCTCGCCAAGTTACTCAGGTTGGTCTCGAAATCCTGGACTCAGGCAATCCCCTTGCCTTGGCCTCCCAGAGTGCTGGGATTACAGGCACCATGCCTGACAGTTTTAATTTTATGAGTTAGAAAATGTGTGAGTTTTCTTTATTAGCTTATTTTTTACATTGCTATAAAGAACGCACCTTAAAACCATTTTAGTCACATTTTCTGTGGTCATTTTCTCAAAAGCATCTGCATTACTTATAAATAGCGATGGCCTGTACTAGCCTAATGGGGAAGGACACTGGTAAAAACAATATGAGCGTGCACACACAGACACACACACATACTTTGGATTTGTAACTTCAAAGTTCACTAATGGTAGGGTTAATTTCCCATGAAATTCAAGGGAAAAAAGAAAATACTTTTGGTTCATACAAGCATTTTCATATATCAAAAAATGTACCTTTTAGGACAAATAATCATTCAGTTAAACTCTGTCTTATTTGTATATGGATTACTCAATTTGTGAATTATTCAGGTGGATTTATAAAAATCTAAAATTTATTTTCTCCTATTGCTTGCCAAGTCAGGGCATGTCATCCAGTACTAATATTAGCTGAAGAAGAACGTACTTAGGAAGGTGACTCTGCAGAGGAAAATAATCTCATAAAGCATGTCAATGACAAATAGAAATGAGTCTTGATTATCATGTGTGCATTTTTTTTCACATTGCTACACTCATTCACTGATGTAAATGCCCGAGATAGTCAAATTGAAACCTCATAGGTGAAATGAATGATGAAAACATCAAATTTACAACTTTGAAAATAGCTCATACAATATCTGCTCAGAGAATCAACATGCTCGGACTTTACAATTATCAGATGGCTCTTATTTGGCATGTTTAGCTCATAATAGGCCACTTTCTCCTAAAAACAAATCTCCAATTTTAAGTGGAATTGCTTTTGGAAGCCATATTAATTCTTTCTCATAATGAAAAATAAATAAAATACCAGAGGTGATCATTTCTTTACTTTTAAACAGGAAATTGCTGCAGCCTTGATAGGTGGTTTCATTGTTATTCTTCTCATTTAAAAAGTGAACAAGGCCCTCAATATCCTGAACCTGGCACGAATGCCACACTTACGAAGCTCACCGTGCAGAGTGGCTGATGAACCAGTCAGCAGGAGGCACTCACCTTCCTGCCAGCAAGCTAAAATGATTAATTTTCACAATTCTTAAATGCCTTTTGAACACATAAAATAATACAAGAATTTTAAACAAAAGCAAGCTCCTGCCTGGTGATTGGCTAATACTATGTATTTTACCTTAAGAAATAAAAATCAGAAGTAATTCTCTGTTCTATCAAGTAGTTATAATGGCAAAACAGAAGCCAACTCTATGGCTGTAAAAGCTCCAGGACATCATTAAAAAAATCAGCCTGGCTGGATTTTTGGAAAAACAATCTACTAACACAAAAAAAGACTGTACAGGCTGGGCTCAGTGGCTCAGCCTGTAATCCCAGCATTTTGGAAGGCCGAAGCCAGTAGATTGCTTGAGCCCATGGGTTTGAGACCAGTCCAGGTGACTTGGTGAGACCTTGTCTCTACAATAAACAAAAAATTAGCTGGGTGTGGTAGCAGGTGCCTGTAGTTCCTGCTATTTGGAAGGCTGGGAGGAAGGATCGCCTGAGCCCAGCAGGTCGATGCTGGGGTGGCTGTGAATGTGCCACTACACTCCAGCCTGGATGATGGAGTGAGATACCAAGTCAAAAAAAAAAAAAAAATGCTGTACAAAACCATATGTTCTTCAAACATATGTATGCTACAAAAGAATAATTTGTATATTAATTATATGCATATAAAATGCATGTCACCAATCTATAGCTCTTGTTCTACAAAAGGTAGAACCCATTTGTATATAGGAAATAAATCTTTTTTTAGAAGGATCCTAATTGGAAAAATGGCATTTACAACCCATGCCAATTTGGATAAAAGTTGGTATTGCTGGTGCTGATCAACAAAGCTATTATGCTTTTCAACTCAATAGGAGTTTTAATATTAATTTTCTTTTCTTTTAACACAGTTATCTCTATGATGGTAAATTCTGTAAATTTTCTTAAAATTTTTTTTTTGGTTGGAATCTCACTTTGTTACCCACCTGGAGTGCAATAGCATGCGCATGGCTATCACAGCCTCAACCTGCTGGGCTTGGGTGACCTTTCTGCCTCTGCCTTCCAAGTAGCTGGAACTACAGGGACATGTTGCCATGCTTTGCTAATTTTTTTTTTTTTTTTTTGTAGAGACGAAGTCTTGCCAAGTTGCCCATGCTGGCCTTGAATCCCTGGGCTCAGGCAGTTCTGCACCTCGGCCTCCCAAAGTGCTGGGATTACAGGTTGAGCCACCATAACTGGCTATTTTCTTGATTTCTAACTCAACAAAAGATGTGTTTAAGAATCACCTCTATTTTGAGGGGGAGGGCCAAGATGGCCAACTGAAGATATCACACAATTACAGCTCTCAGCAAAATAAACCTACATGGAAGAACAGACCTAGGGCTTTGAGAGCTGATCTGAAAACTCAAGCTGAGGTCTATCAGATGGTCACTTGGGGACATGAAGGATGAATAATTCCAAGTTCCAGATACATCTAGAAGTGGCCCTGACATGGGATCAGGAAAGTGCCTTTGGAGACAGAGGAGGTGAATGAAAAATGACAGCTTTTTTCCTTTACACACCTCATATAAGCCTCTGCAGTCTCAGCTAAGGGAGAGAAGCCCATGCCCTCCCCTCACAACCCTTCTGCACTGGCTGGGCATAGAGGGCTGCCTTAAATAGAGACAGAGGCACCGGCCAGAGACATATGGAACTCAGGGAATCCCTGTTCCCAAGAGCTCTGCTGCAGCCACTGAGCCCGCCATGGAGAGACTCAGTAGGAAATACTCTGAAGGGGTGGTCTGTGTCACATGGGTACTCTCCTCCTCCCTGGCACCCAGCAGGGGGTGACATGATCACTTCAGGATATTTCTCTGGTGTTGACAGCTGTTGCAGCACCAGGTCAGGGCTGCAGATGCGGCTTGCCCTCAGGGGTCCCCCATTGTTGCCACAGTCCTTCCCCTAGAGCAGCACATGTTCTAAGAGGTGGGATTCTCTGCATAGTTCCAGGGTGCACTGCTGCTTACCTGTGGACTGAAGGAGAAATAACAATCTCCCCAATGCTGCCCTTCTACCCCTGGGCAAAAGGGGTGACCCCGCCAGATTGGAAGAGGCCACTCCATACCCCCAAGAGCCACTGAAGCAGAGTAGAATCACAGAGCCCCACCTGGTCACCTGCCAATCCTACTGATGAGACACATGGACTGGAGAGGAGGCCATCAGAGATCCAGCCAGCACCCCTGTTGTCTTTGTCAGAGGGAGGGGAAGGAAAGTCTCTGAAATAGAGGAAAGGTCTTGCCCTGTTCCTGCTATACCGCACCAATGAAGCAGTTCCAGATGGTCTACCTTTCCTGCTACCGCTATCCACCTCACTCCCTATCACAGGCAGACCAGAGGAAGGAGGGTGGGCAAAAATAAAAAATAAAAAAGCAAAACAAAAAATAAAAAGAGGAGTCTGCCCCCACATATTAGAATCTTCAAAGCCTTGATGAGTCAACACCCACAAAAGGGTTTCCCAGATCCTTAGCAGTGGAATTCATCCAGAACAGCCTGTCCCTGATGACCAACAAAGAATTCAGACTATGGATGGCAAAGACACTCAGCAAGATCTACAAGAAAGTGAATACACAAATCATCCAGGCCATGAAACAGTGTAGGAAGTGAAAGCTGAGCTGTCCATTATAAAAAAGGACCAAACTGAACTTCTGGAAATGAAAACTTTTCTGCTGAAATTTCAAAACACAATAGCAAGCAGAATCAACTAGACAGAGGAAAGAATCTTAGAACTTGAGGATAGAATTATTTAACTAACCCAGTTTGGTAAAAACAAGGAGAAAAGTCTTAAGAAGAATAAGCAAAACCTATGAGAGGTATGGATTTATGTAAAAAGAGATCAAATCTATGGTTTATTGGCATCCCTGAGAGAGAAGGGGAAACTGAGACTACCTAAAGCGAGCCTTCCATGATGTCATCCTAGAAAACTTCCCCTATCTCACTAGAGAGGTAGCCATGCAGACACAGGAGATTCGGAAAACTCCTGTGAGGTATTACATGAGAAGACCATCCCCAAGGCACATGATAATTTGTCTCATCAAGGTAAACAAGAAAGAAAAAAACCTGAAGATAGCTAGAGGGAAGAGACAGACCACCTACTAATGAAGACCCATCAAAATTGCAGCAGACCTCTTAGCAGAAACCCTACAAGCCAGAAAGG